GTCGCCGGCGGTGGCCGTGTCTTTTTTCTTTTTCCACCAGGCGTCAGTGTATCGGTGATTGTTTCTTTTTCCCCGGAGAGCCCGAGAGGAAGCTCGCAAGGAATTGTATGTATATATAATTGCGTTATTTGGGTGGCCACATATTCTTTTTAAAGAGTTCTTTTCCCCGCTGGTAAACACGGCGGCTTCCAAAAACGAAATTAAAAGATAATAACAATAAAACAGATTATTTATTATGCCTTTCTTCTTTAAGCATAGGCTAAGGGCGATTCTGACAAATTGCTTTTGTTTTTAGGAACGGTGCACAAAAGGCCTAAAAGCCATATCATTTTTTTGCTGGTTATTTTTTTCTACTTCAGGATGCATCGCTTCAGCGTCATGTTTGCTTTTTTTTTTTTTGTTAGTTTTTGTTTTGTTGAGCGGATGAGTCTTATTATATTCCACCTCTTTTTTCCCCGCCAGTTTATCTGCGCGTGTTTATGCGTTTGATCACAATACGCTGGGGCGGTGTTTTCGGAACGATTTTGTATCGTGTGAGTTGGCGTGAATTTTGAGTGTATTCAATATATATATATATATTGCAAAGTATTGACGCTTTTTTTCTATGTTTATTTTTAAACTTTTTATAAACTTGTAATTAAGGAAAGCCGTAATTATTACAGGGCGTTTTTGAAACACCGAGAGCAGTCACCAATCGCAACAACACATAGAATTGAGAGTGCTTACTTTTAGGGGATATCATTCATGCACAAGAGCCCAATGAAAAGACATTAGCGCGGGCAGAATAAAATAACAAGGTAAAGAATGACGCGATATTTTTATTTTGCTCTATTTCGCTTGTTGGTATGCCACGCCAGTGAATTCACATTTGACGCAAATGCGGCGACGGATCCAGCAAGACTCTTTGAAAACAGTCTATTGAATCATGGATGAGTGCGAATTCCGGAACTGCTTGTACTCATCATTTCTGTGTGCCTTTTCCTTTTGAGATAAAAGGAATTATTGTGACCACTGCTGCTGCTCAATGAGAGGGATCGGAAACGGAAAGAAAACCATTTGGATTTCAAGGTTTTGTGTATACGGCAGGGGAGAATGAAAAAAGCACAAGGAATCACTGGCATCCTCCGATGTGGACGGTGCTGAGGCAGATGTATCATGAGCTGCCGCACAATTTACCTTTGAGGTGCTTGCGATTCTGGTATGCTATGACGGAAAATATAGGGGTAAGATTCCGCACTTACTTGGTTGCCTTTTGAATATTATTATGGAAGCGAACGCAAACACAGGTTTGCAGTTAATTACCATGAAACCAAATCTCAATACTACGCATATGGTTGGAGGCAAATTTTTAAAGTTGTCTTTTCCTTTTGAGAACAGCGCAGTTGTGACGAAAGAGAGAAGATTTGTGGTTTTTTTGTTACAACCTATAAACGCGAATGGGCTTACCATATCCAGCTTAATTTATTCGGAGGATGACAAAATAGCGTCGAGACCCCACTATCGAGCGAGTGCTGAGGGCGGCAGAGATGTCGCCATTGTGGATTGGGAAGATGCGAAACTGCACATTTTATCTCTTTGCCATCTCGGAAATCGCAGAGTTCACGGAGGACGGGATGACGGGAAGGCATGGACGGAGGCTGTTGGAACACCCTTACGCGTGTGCAGCAAAAACGGGACAGAATTGGTTTTGGAGTTGGAGGTAACGCTATTACTGTGAGTATTATAAAGAATAAAGTGATGCTTCCTAAAACACTTGGCGCAACATGGTACATAAAGCGAGAATAAAGGGTGGCCGCTTAAATTGTGGCTCACTGACTTCAGTAATCACATCTTTGACCTTTTAACGATATCTGAAATTGACAAGACAGCCACAATCATTCTTCTGTTGAAAAAAGACGGGACGTTGTTTACTTTTTACGAGAACGGCAGTGATACATCCTGCAGTCCTTTTACTACACTCGTTATTCTTTTTGGCTGCGTGGTGAGATCGGTAAAAAAAAAGTTGTAAGGACGTGGACAACCGTGTTTCCCAGACGTGTAGTTTTTTAACTGCGGCGAAGGCTTTATCACCTCAAGGGGTTTGCATTACTTACGTGCCCACGAACGTTAGGATTGGATATTAGTCTGGTACCCTCACTGCGGGTCAGCGGAAAGATGAATAACTTCGAGGAGATACAAAAGTTCATGGGAAATCGAAAAACACGAATGATGATGTGTGCTTTAAACGTTCAGGATCAGGAGAAAAATGGTCCGTTGGCAAACTAGGGCAGAATCAATCTTACCACTTTGAAACCAACTTTATTCTTTTGTCAAAGGTGACCATTCATCGGGTGCCGAAGAAAGACAGCATTTCTTTGGTGAATGTAAAGATGAATGTTACTTCAGGTGATGCTCTTGTGGAAGCATCGCACGACACGGGCTGAGGGTGGAAATTGATGTGCAAGTGTGGGACGACGACGACGGCACAAGAGGGATCTTGGGAGCCGAGGACGACATATCAAGTGGTGCTCATGCTGCGGAACGGCAAAGCCTCTGTGCACGTTGACTATTAGCCTTTGGCTACTCAAAAGGATATTGTTCGAAGGATGAATCGGAATGTTTTTCAAACTTCTAAATTGGAGGATTGGGAAGCATCACAGAAGACGAAGGTGAAACAGACGAAAAGGATGTTGCGGTGGGAAATGGTCATTTTTACAACCCTCTATCCCGCATCACCAAGCTGGAAAATCTTATAAGCGAATAGGACAGAGTTAAATGGGAGCGTAATAAATCAGCAACGATTGCAGCAAAAAAAAAAACAAAAAAAAACCTAGAAAAGTGTTGTTGTTGTCTCTCTTTCCATTCATTTGAAAAGAGTGCTTTTGATATTCTTGCTGCATTTCTGGAGGCTTGCGGATTTGTGAGGAGTAGTGAGACTTCACTTTGGGATTTGTCTGCTCTTTTTCCTGGGAATAAATTACAATTTACAAATAATTGTTTTTAAAGGATTTATTTATTTATTCTATTTTACTAGCCGGTTCACTGCTGCACTCAGCTTAAGAATATATGGAATTATCAAAGAATTGTGTGCTTTTCTTTTACATTAAAAACAACAACCTAACGACAGTTTTTGTTGTGTAACAATTGTTCAAATGAAAGGGTAGAGAGCAAAAAGACGACGGAAACATACCGGGGCTTCTTACAAGCCATAAATGATGCGTGAATATGAGAAAGGATTAATTGCCGTGAAAGAAATATTTATTTTTTTGTTACTTAAAAAAAAGCCAGTTATACGCACATCATTTTAAAGCGCTACACTGCTACTGAACGCCATTTTTTTTTTTTTTTTTGGAATTTATAAAGTGTTAAGAATATCGTTTTTTTCTGTAACCTTGCTGTGTGGCATCAAGTGCTTCAAACTTTTTTTTTGTTTATGTTTTTGTGTCGGCAGGGACAGACAACGACACCCACACTAAACGCATATTATTTGGAGTGCACGTGGCTGATCCTTTCTTAGTGGGTGCTGGCAGTTGCGTGTGGGGTGCTTCCTCTTTCTGTAGGCGTGAGGCGCCGCATTCCATTGTGGGGGCGGAATGGCAGTAAATTTTGCCGCGTCTTGGATGGATGAGGAATCGCTTCCGCGCGTGGCTCTTTGGGTGATTGTTTACTCCGTGTGCGTTGTGTGTTGGCTGCGGGCTGTGGCCGTATCCCGTTGGCCGTGGGATTGAACTGGAGGCGGTGGCGGTGTGTCTTTTCTCCTCGTCCATTGGTGGGTGACTGCTGGCTCTGTGTGTGTTTGTTGTGTGGAGGGCCGAATCTTTTCTTCCGCGGAATGGCAGCGCTGCGATGGTGTGTTTGTGATGGCTGGTGCGGGCGATGCTCCTCTGTGCTGTCGCTTCCGGATTGTCTTGTGTCCCGCTCTTTGCGTGGTGCTCTCTTCTGCTCCCCACTGGCGTGTCTGATGTATTGCCGCTTTTTCTGCCTTCTTCACTTCTTGAATACAAACACGCTAGGAAATCAAGCTCTACTCGCTACTGTGAAATTGTAAGGCTCTGCAAGGACCAACAGCACACACACCGCCCACACACACATATTTACATGCTTTCAGGAGTTGCTGCTGTGAAGGCACCCAGCACACAATCGTCGCCGCGTGACCGGATCCAGCGGAAGGAGGGAAGGAAGGAGGAGAGAGTGAGCAGCAGAGGCCCAACATGTCCCGGCGTGTGTTTTTGCTTTCGCGGTGCTGCTCCTCTTTTTTGTGACGGTTTGCTGCGACTGTGGAGGTGCACACGCTGTGGAGAGTAAGTCTGGGGTTGTGCAACTGGCGCAGGAGATCGACGTTTTTTTGCCGAATAAGACGCAGGTGGTGTCAAGAGATGGGAATGTTTTATTTGAAGTGAAGAAAGCATTTGTCTCACCCTCTCTTGTCCGTGCTGGTAGACCAATGGTTGCCATTGCTGAAGGCTTGTTCGAGTATAAGTTCCATGAACATAACTCATTTTGGATTTGGTCTTCCGACATTGTGGCTGGGTACATCAAGGTTGCGGAGACGTGGCCGTCCATTGTCGCTGAGATCACCAAGAAGGAGTGGAGTGCACGCACCGTGCTTGGCAGTAGGAATGGCAATAATCGTTTGCGCGTTTTTTGTTGGCCCGCAGCAGTTGCGAGGGACAGTAAGGTGTTTCTACTTGTGGGAAGCGATACTGTAGGATATGACAGTGGCGATGAGATGTGGGAGAAAGATGGCTGGGATATTCAACTGGTTGAGGGTGTGGCCACGCAGTCGAAGGACGGCGTGCAGAGTACACTGATCAACTGGGCTGAACCCAATTCACTTTCACAACGGATCTCCACACACACTCAAGATCACCTGAGGGAACTTTTGACTGCTGGTGGCTCAGGCAATTTGATGCAGAATGAC